AGACACAGAGTAAGAGAAGAGAGAGACAGACAGAGAGAGAGAGAGAGAGAGAGAGAGAGAGAGAGAGAGAGACAGACAGACAGACAGACAGACAGAGTCAGAGTCAGAGTCAGAGTCAGTGACAGAGAGGCAAAAGGACAAAGAGGAAGGAAGAAGGAAAATGAGGGGGAAAAGAAGTAGAAGAATAAGAAAAAAGGTAGAAGAAAAGAAGAGAATCAATGGCTTGAAGATGCTGTCAATATAAACCTCTCAAACTGAAAGGTAAAGAGAAAGAAGGAAAACATGGAACTGAATATCCCAGAACTATGAGACTGCAAAGGATATAACATACACATAATAAGAATACCAGAAAGAACAAAAAGAGAAAGGAACATAAGAGGCATTTGAAGCAGAATTATAGACCCAAAATCATAATTGGGAAAGCCTGAGCACACAGGGATAAATAAGAAAAACTTTATGTCTAGGAATATCATAAAGATCCGTAATGTGTACATGCTCATCAGAGCCTTCAAAATACATAGGCAAAACTGGTAGTACTGTGGAGAAGTAGATAAATCCACCATTAAAGATACAGACTTGACCATATCTCTATCAATAACTGACAGATCCAGTAAGTAAGCAGTAATGAAATAGGCCCATTAATCAATCCAACCCAAGTGACACGAATACTTCATCCAACAACACAAAAAGTGTATTTTTCTCAACCTCACATGGATCATGAAGTAGGTGGAGCATATTCATTGCCACCAGGATGGCTGGAAGGAAGCTGACCAGTGACGAAAAAACTGCAGGTTGTGAGGCACATGGTCAGGGAGGTGGGCTGTAAAGAAGACTCTGGCTCAAAGCCTCTGTGTCACTTCTGTGCCCTATGCTTTATTTGTAAAATGTGAATCTACCTCAGGCTCATTACTTTGCTTCCATCTCCCTGAAAAAGAGATCTGATTATTTTTTAATTATTATTATTTTTTTTTGGTACTGGGGCTCAAACTCAGGACTTCGTGTTTCAGGCAGGTACTTAAGTCACTAAGCTCTCTCTCCAGCTCAAAATTTGATTCAATTAGCATTTTAAAAAAAAATATCATAGGGCCAGAGAGATAGCTCAGCACCATAAGTACCTGCCTGGCAAGTAAAAGGTCTTGAGTTTGATCCTCAGTACAAAAAAAAAAAAAAAAAAAAAAAAAAAAAAAAAATTATAGAGTCAGTGTTAAACAGCTAACAAGTTTTCTATATAATACACACACACAAACTTTCAATAATTTTTTTCACCTAGTATTTCCAATCAATAGTAAAAAAGCACACATTAGCTTTTGAGTTGGTGAATATGAGTTGCTACTGTAAGTGCTGAAAATGTATAATACTGATACTCCTTTTTAACACTAAAATTTCCAAAGTCCTCACTTTTACCCTCAGAAAAGAAAATCTCACTTTGATATATAATGAGAATTCATGAACTCATTTAATTGTATCAGAACAGCGACACTCTAACAAATTAAGTAAAGATCAAGTAATTAATCAGCTACAAAATTCTGAGTCTTAAAGCTGAATTGCTAGTACATTTACCTGTCATCTTCTATGGTAAAAAAAATTCCAAAATAGATTTATTTTTTAAAAAGTCTGAGAGTAGGAAGTAGGTGAATTAAGAATTAAATGGGGACTATCTGGATAAATATAAGAGGTCAACCACAATGATTCAATGAGCATTACTTTAAAAAGCTAGTTTAAAAAGTTAGCTAAAAAAAAGAAAAAAATTAGATTTTTTAAAAAATGTATTTGGTATAGGGTCTCACTGCGCAGCCTGGACATGTAGTGATCCTCCTGTCTCAGCCTCCCCAGTAGTGGGATCACAGGAATGCACCACCACCCCAGGACTCGGTGCCCAGCTCACCATGCCCAGGGCTGGGGCCAGCTCTGCTTATGAGATTTAAGAAATGCATGCATTTGTGATTGAGTGCTCAAGGATACACTCTCAGGGAAATGGTCTCCAAAACTATCTACAATAAAGAACAGAATAGTAAAAAAGAGGAGAAAAGGATGGCTTACTGTCTTGGGGAGCTAGCGCAGGATGCCTTTTTTGAATCAGGAGAGCTCAGAGTTTGCAAAACACCATCACTTTTTCTGGCGGTGTGGACGTCTCTTTCCTGTTCAGCGTGGATTAGGGTGAAGGGCTGTCTCCCAGCTTCTCCCTCCATTTGGGTGCCCACATGTAGACGTGGCTCTGGGCTCTGTAAAATGAGGTCATCTTCACTGATGGAGACTGTGAGGCTGCTGCTGCTGCTGCTTGCACTTCCCTCCTCTTGCTCTTCCTGCATGTGCTCCAAGGACCTGTGAGGCTCTGGGTCCCCAGGGGTGAGGTGACCTGCACAGGAGATAGTACACAGATTGCTGTCATTAATGTCATGGAGAATCAAGGTAACACAGAGCAGAATGACCCTTAATTAAGAACACACAGAAATAATCCACAATTATAGGATTTAAAAATTCAAAATGTTTTTATTTTCCATAAAAAACTAAAAAATTTTGAAATTTGTGGTGCTGGAGATTGAGGGCTATGTGCGTGCTAAGCACACGATGTTCTATTACTAAGCCACACCCCAGCACTCAAAAAATCCATGTTTTAAAAAAATCATTGAGTTTAAAAATTAGTGAATTTACTTTCAAATCTATGTCCAGAATAAAAACCAAACCAAACCCAAACAAAAAACCAAAAAAAAAAAGAAAAAAAAAAAAAAAGCTATGTCCAGGTATACAGTGAATAACTCATTAGAATGTAATTTACCAACAACATCACAGTTTTAGTTTTCGACAGAAGACATAAAATGGGGTATATTTTGTCCTTACAATCCTTATGATCACTTTCCACCTGGAAAAAACAAACCCCCACAAAAGCCAGCAAGCCAGCGCAGCCTCTCATCCCACCTGGGGAAGCGGCCCCCTCAGAGTGTATCTCTGGAGACCTCTTATTTTCAGATGCACAGTGCTTGGAAACTGATAGGGCAGAGACAGGCAGGTTGGCACTTTCTTCCTCAACTTCAATATGCTCTTGTGTCAGTCTTCCCTCCTCTGATCCCTCTGATCTGCTGCAACTGTCACACTTTAAATCACTGGTTCTGTTCTCAGGATTTAATCTCTGCTGTGGTGAGGAACGGAGTTCTGCAGACTTTCTGCCTTCAGATAAATTACTCTCCCTGTGCCTCGGGCTGCTTCCTATCTCTAGGCAATGAGTTTGTTCCTCCTCAGAGGGAGCCCGTGCTGTGACTGGCGTCTTCTCACCAATCTGAAGAGATGTCTCGCCATCTACTTTGTCAGACTTAGTTAAGCACTGCGTGTCACTAGGAGTTTGTACTACATAGCTGTCTGTCACTCTGCTGCTTGGGGCTGTCTGTCGGTGTGAATGTGGGTCGGGAATTGAGAAGTTCTTTGTGGGCTGGGCAGATTCCTGCTCTGTGCTGAAATCTCCAATGCTTGAGAGGGCTGACATTTGGCGGCCCATAAAGATTGTTGCTGGTTGATACAACCCTGTTGACATGGACACAGAGTTCATTCTGGCTGGTACTGCAACCTGCAAGGAGAAGTATGAGTTAGCCAAGTGAACACAATGAGTCTGCCTTCAGAAAGGAGGGAAGTAAGGGAAGTAGAGCCATGAAAGTCACCATTTGCCATCTTTAATGAAATGCATGCCAAATATATAGCAAATAAGCAAAAAATTATATAGTACATACTATTTAGTAGCAGTGCTGATTCATAAAGAAATTATGGCTAGGGAATATGGAGCCTATAGTTTTGAAAAACAGTCCAGGGAGATGGCTCAGTAAAATAAGTGCTTGCCTGGCAATTGCAAGGGTCTGAGTTCAAATCCCCAGTTCCACCAAAAAAGAAAAAAAAAATTTGAAAAACGAAAGCACATACTTAACTGAACTGCATACTTAAACTCAATCACACTGGCAGATTTCTTGCTATGTATAATTTATCACAATAAAAACTAAACCACTAGTCCTGGCCCAGGCCCCAGTGAGTGTGTGGGAGAGCTTCCTGCTACTCTGCGCGGGCAGGACCTGACGGTCCCAGCCCAGGCACAGCATGGGTAGGACCCCCTTCCACCCCCTTGGGCCTCCCCACCATTCTGCAGTACCCCCCACCCTGCCTGCCCAGTGAGAATTTCTGCCGTGTTCTGAGGACCCCCAGATATAGCCCTAGCCCAGGCCCAGTGAGTGCGTGGGACAGCTTCCTCTCCCCCCTACTCCCCCTTGTCCCCTCCAGACTCAGCTCAGGCCTAGACTACGGGCCTGGGGTGAAACCCCGCAGCTGTAATCCCCGCAGAGAGTGTAGGGGACAAAGCCACCCAGCTAGTCCAGGAGCAGAACATCTTGCCAGAGGGGCATAACAAGATCACTCCCAAGGGCAGCAGCAGGAAGGAGCTGAGCACAGCAGCCAGACCCAAGCAAGGCACAGCAGGATAAATCCAAACTTTGTAGATCTGCACCTGAATTTTAATAAATACTAAGGTTATAACTGCACCAAAGCTCTACAACAAAGGTCAGAAGACAGTGCTACATAAAATGACGAGAAGGAGCAAAATGCAACCTCAGAACCCAAGCCCATCCATAACAAGTACAGAGGACACTATCACAGAAGAAATTGGGAATCACACAGCTGAAAGCAATGAATCAACAGTTTCTGAAATAAAGAAACAACTGCAGAAAGGTATAGAGGAACTCAGATTGGAAATGAAAAAAAGAAATCCCTGAATTAATAGCATCTGCAGTAGAGAATCAAATGCAGAAACATATGGAAGAAACCCAGTGCCCACCCAGAACAAATGCAGAGGACATTAGTTCAACTGAAATGTATGAATTAATAGCGTTAATAGTAAATAACCAACAGTAGAAAGTTATAGAGGAACTCAGAGCTGAATTCTTTTCTGAAATAAAAAAAGAATTCTCTGAACTTACAGTATCTGAAGCAAAGAATCAACTACAGAAACATAGGGAGGAAACCTGATCTGAAGAAAACACTGTAGTAAAAGAATTAATAACTGCTTCTAAAGAAGACATTGAATAAAAAAAATAGAGGAGATTAGAAAAATGATGGACTCCTTGGATGAGCAATACAGGAAAGAAATAAATCACATGAAGCAGAGTGAAAGAGATATAGAGGAACTTAAAATCTCAGTCACAAGCTTGCAAAACCGTTCAAGTGAAAGTCAAGACAGAGTTTTAGATCTTGAAGTGACTGGTGCAGCTAGTAAAAAGGTAAGAAAAGATCTCTTAAAAACAACTAGGATGCAAGAAAAAATAATTCATCACTTGCAGGATGATGATAAGATGAACAATGTGAGACTAATAGGTATCAATGAGAAAGAAGGAGTCAATACAAAGGACATTAAAAAATATGGGCAGAAGTAATAGCAAAAAACTTACCAAATATGAGGAAACAATCTGACATTCAGGTAACTGAAGCATACAGAACACCAAGCAACCTCAACCCAATGAAAAACACACCAAGACATATAATAGTCAAGATCCCAGAAATTCAGCACAAGAATAATATACTGAAAGCTGCTAGAGAAAAGAAGCAGATCACATTCAAAGGAAAATCAATCAGAATTATAGCTGACATCTCGTCACAAACCATGAAGGCAAGAAGAGCATGGAGCAGAGTACTTCAAGTCCTCTATGAAAACAAATTTCAGCCCAGACTACTATACCCTGCAAAACTCTCTTTCAAGTTTGATGGAGAAGTGAAATACTTACATGACAACAACTAAAGAATTTCATGATGGCAAAACCAACTCTACACAGACTACTGAAAGATGTTCTAGAGAGGGACCAAAATGATCAGAACTCCACCAACGAGAACAGAAGATACCCACTAAATAGGGCAAACAACTAAACACATGAGAAAAAGGAGTAAACGACAACAGGAAAGTAACATGTCAATCGTAAGTCAATACATCTCAATTCTAACCATCAATGTAAATGGACTCAATATACCAATTAAGAAAAATAGACTGGCACAGTGGATTAGGAAACAAAATCCAACAATATACTGTATACAAGAAACACATTTAACTCATAAAGACATTCATAGGCTGAAAGTCAAAGGATGGAACACAATACTACATGCCCCAGCACTTCAGAGAAAAGCAGGGGTAGCAATCCTATTCTCAGACAGTCTCAACTCCAAACCAAGAACGATCAAGTGAAATAAAGAAGGCCACTATATACTGGTTAGGGGAAAAATTCAAGAAAAAAAAGTAACACTCATAAATATGTATGCACCAAACACGGGAGTACCCAACTATATAAAGCAAATCTTAATGGACATGAAAAATCTAATATCCAATACCACAATCTTAACAGGAGACCTTAACACCCCCTTATCCCCAAAAAATAGGTCAACCAGACAAAAAATTAGCAAAGAAACAACAGAACTGAACCAGAGCTTGAAACAAATGGACTTGGTGGATATATACAAGTGTTCTACCCAAACACAGCTGAATACACATTTTTCTCAGCTGCACATGGGTCATTTTGTAAAATAGACCACATAATGGTCCATAGGTCATGCTTAAGTATATGCAAGAAAACAGAAATTATCCCATGCATATTATCTGACCACAGTACAATGAAACTGGAAATAAATGACAAAAGAAACCTTAAACCCTAAATACATGAAAATTAAACGACACCTTACTCAGCAACCAATGGGTCACAGATGAAATTAAACAAGAAATTCAACAATAT